TTCTTGTTAGAGCATAGTAACTATACTACTCATGAAACTCTTGTTGTAGCATAATGACTATACTACATATAAGAGTATAATGATTAGATAGGGTTTCTTCTCATAGTCTTGTTGTAGTAATAATCAGAATAGGGTTTTGGGGCCCGTTTTTGGTATAGTTATAATAAGGAGCCCCCAAAATACGGTTGACGACATAAATCTTGCATCACCTTAATGACCTAGGCTATGGGAGTTATGCTATGTTCCTAATTGTGGATAATGCAGGATTTATATCATCAACCGTATGGCTCCTTATTATACTTGTAGTATATAAGTCGCCCCTACACGCTCTTCTGTCTATCAAGGTACGCGTGTCAGTGGCTTGCAGGGTTTCGAAGTCGGTGTTTCACGTGCCGACGTCGTGGATGGATCGGCATTGCTGGCCTCAGTTCTGACCTTGGGCTTAGGGTGGATCGCTTTCGGTGTGCAGGGTTCCCGAACCTCGTGCCGACGCAGGGAGGATCAACCCCCGAAGCACCGAACACGAAACTCAAGAGCTGAAGATCCCTGAAGCTGCCAAGCGCCACAAATCTGACGCTTTGAAGCAATCGTTCGGACCATTCGTGAGCCGCGAGGCACCAAGCTCCAGACTCTAAACTGTCAACACGCAGCACAATCCCTAGTGTTACGACGGCAGGCTACAGTACGAATGCATGCAAGGGTTCTTATTTGCCCTAGAATTGTTCAAACCGTACGACGGATGCTACCATTGTTTCTTGACCACGTCCGCTCGTGCTTCGCGGTCCTGAGTGCGATTGTAAAGACCCTAGTACTCTCACCCCTGTACCATCCCTAAACCCTAAACCCTAAACCCTAAAGCAATGCGGGCTTCGTCCTTGCTAGGTAGGAGGGAAAAAAAACCCTAAAGCGTGCCTCAGCCCTAACCCCCCCCCCCCCAACGGTATTCAAGCTTTCGAGCATCCCTAGAGCTCTGAAGCCCTGGAGCCGAAGCATGCCCAGAGACTCCAATATCCCTTAATTAAGGAATATTTCTGAAATGATATTAGGGATCCTATTATAATTTAAGGTATATTCCTTAATTAAGGGATATTGGAGTCTCTGGGTGTGGGCGAAAAAAGGGGACCCTGGTATAGCACCCTATATAGTAGGATCCTTATTATAAGGACCCCAAAAGTAAGGTACCCCTGGTTTTCCCATTTGGGGCACCCCCAGAGGCGACGGCCACCACGCAGCGGAGCTCCGAAGATGTCGAGTCAAAAGTGTCGCAATGGCTGGGCCAGGGCAAGGCAGGGAGAGCCGGGAGAGCTTTCGGAGGGGTTCGGGTCAATTCTATCGGGTGGAGAAGGGTGATATTCGCACATTAGGATTTCAGGATTTGGGGTTTGGGATTCAAGTTGGATCAGAGAAGCTTTTTGAAGCCTTCTCTGTGCGGCACCTCTGAGTTTCAGATTTGGGGTAGGAGGTCCAGCTACATCGCATGCCCGTCTGTTGACGGCTTCTAAAGAATTAAAGACCTTCGTAAATCGAGAAGGAGGCAACACCACAAACCTAAGCCCAGAACCCTTCAACTTAAAGCCTAAACCCTCATGAATCCGTGTCTGCCTTGCGCGAGTGTGCGAGTCGAAAGCCTAAACTCTTAGCCAGTAGCATGGATGTAGGTTGTTGCATCACCGGATGTCCTTGTCCTGCAGCTAGCCTTTTGGTTGGAGTACGAAGTATCTTAATTTCTTGCGTCCGAGGGTTGGTTGCAGGGATTGAGGGACCAGGGTCAACAAAGCCCAAATCTTGACGCTCGAGTTGGCTCTAACTTGTCTAACTTGTGTTTAGCTAATGCGACATGACCCAAGATACCTCGTCTGGCAAGTCCGAGTTGCGAGAGCGTGAACCAAAAGAGGGGTCTTGCTCTGAAGTCCTCGGCCCAATTCCATGTAGATGATCCCCGGATGCTAGACTACTACAACGCCCTGAATACTCTGCATGCGACAACTTCCAGGAGAATTTGTTGGCAGGGTATACTGCGAAGTGGATGTGTGACACTTGTAGTTTATTGTCCATATGTAACAACGTCTCTCATGTTGTGTCGGGCTAGCAAACGCGGTTGCCCCAATTATGAGAGTCGGAAGCCTAAACCCGATCTGCTGTATGACGACGAAGCTTCTTGTGTCACCCGATCCGCACCATGGACCTCGCCTGGCAAGTGCGAGTCGTGAGAGTGTCAACCCTAAACCGTAGTACTCATATGCCTCGCCTGGATTGTCCGAGTGTGAGCGCCGAAACCGTAGTACGAGGGAAGATCTTTCCACAAGGACCTGGCCGGAGGGGGCTCGGTCTCGCTGCCCTTGACCGTCAGCGGCTACCGCCAGCTTCTGGCGTCTAGCGACGCTGACCTTGGGCTATCGTTTAGGAATATAGGAGCTTCCCTGAGGGTCCGTTTCGATTAGTTGAGCTCTAGGGTGTAGCGTGGACGTCTAAGAGTCCCTGTTTAGGGTTTATGTAGGTTTCTTGGCAAATGCAGTTGCCAGTCGAGAATGAGGGGAGAGCAAGAGAATCAAGGCAGTTTGTGGTTTTTCTCTTGCGATGGATTGGCTCAGGATGCGAAGTGTCACTTCGTGGAAAGACTTATCGCCGCCATGGGTGGCCATCCGTTGCAACTTGGACTTTGGTTGCCTGGAACCATCTTTAGATCCAGTTGCTGAGCCCCATTCACTGGTCTGCAATCAAGGAAGCGCGACCAGCTGCGACCCTTCTCTGCTTGGTTCTTCCGGAATACCGGGAATGAGCACTTGCAGGACGTTCTAGCATTGGCATCTCGGGTCAGGTGTTGGTGCAATGTTTAGGATGTCGGGAAGTTTATACAAAGTGGAATTCAGTTGCGGCGAGGGTCTTTGTTTCTGGGTTGTCTTGGTGGCTGCTGCTGCTGCTCGTTACATGAACGGTTTGCCTTCACCATCACGGTGGCACTCCCATATCAATGCAGATAGCAAAGAGACAACACGGCGGAGCTTTCGCGAGGACGGTTTACCAGCTCTGAAGCAGTCGCTGCGTGAGCAGACCTGGATCCTCTGCGAGACGTCTGAGGTTTCGGAATGGTGACTAGTGGCACGGTGCCTTTAAGGTTCAGGTGTGGACGTTCCAAATCTAATGGGCATCGTGACAGAAAGAGCAGTTGTCGTCGTAGCAGTAGCAGTGGCAGTGGTGACAGCAGGGAGAAGATTCGATGGTAGTTCGTAGGAGAAGGCTCCGAGCCCGCCGAGCTTAGGATCCTCTGGGCCTCGGACCGGAGTGCCTCCAGGCCGGCATCCCGAGAGTTCTGATCTTAGGACGGCGTCGTGATGGTGATGAAGTGGTGAATGGGGAAAAGGATCACTCTTGATGAACACCCGCTGATGAACATCCGCCTTTGCGTGGCCCTTATTTACGGGAGTGTTAGCGGGCATTGGAAACAAGACCCGAGCACTACAATCGGCGAAGCCTCATGGTAGGAAGAACGGAGTGCGGGAAACCCCAGGTGTACGTATGTCTGTCTGTCTGTCTGTCCGTCCGTCCGTCCGTTTGTCTGTGTCTCTGTCTGTGTGTCTGTCTGTGTGTCTGTCTGTGTGTCTGTCCGTGTGTCTGTCTGTGTGGCTGTCTGGCTGTCTGTCTTTCTGTCTGTCTGTATGTATGTATGTATATGTGTATATATATATACACATAAATCTGGTTTGTTCATGCATATATCTATATCTCTATATTTCTATATCTCTATATTCCGACGTATATGTCCATATGTACAATATCACATGTATGTATTTCAGCTGTTGGTTGAGAAATATGTACACGCACATATACTTGCATACATGAGGCAATAAACGTACATGCGCATATATATCTCCACACACAACTGAAATGTACTTGAATTGCTCTTCTTGCCTTTGCCCAGGCGAGCGAAGCTTCGATTGAATTGGAGGCCACCCCGACCCCAGGACTCTCATCAGCTAGATAGCATGAGAATATATTCGAGAATATGCAGCACATGTTTCTGCTATACATAGTGTATATGTTTTTGTATATCATATACCATATGATATATACTATACAGAATGTATCGTCATGGTTTCTATCGCTGATGATTTCTGACCGCGGTTCTCAGTTCTAGCTACGCTCGAGAGACGACTACCACTGATACTTGGACAATGCTAATATCATGTCCACTGAGGGCATTCTCACCATGACAACAAAAGCTGCTTCAGCTCATGTTGTGATGTTAATGGCAAACCACCAAAAACATACGAGAGTGAGCGTCAAAAAAAGCATTGACAGGTGGCGGGAGGGCGGCCTCCGAAAAGTGTGGTTCCAAGCAAGAAATGCGCAGAGCCCCAGCCACGAGCGCGTGCGGCAGTTCTTGGAGGCAGGTGAGAGGTAGAGTATGCTTTGGAGCGTGAGCAGTGCATTCTGCATAGTTCATGCATTTAGAGCCAGTGGACAGCTCTTTGTAAGGTTCTGTAAGGCCTTGGATAACTTGCTGGCCCACCTACCCTCCTCTTAGGGCCACATTCCGAGTGAAAGCGAATGTCTTTGGGGCATTCAGCCATGGGAGCTGAAGCTTCGAGGTGAGGCGGGCTTGAGGGCATCTGCGTTGCAGCCCCTCCTCAAACACGATCTTTGTAGCGGTGTAGTAGTGATATGCAGCAGTGATGGTGCTGTCAGTCCGGTGCTGTTGCAGATTCAATGCAGATGCTGCCCCTGTGAGGCGCAGAGTGCCAAAGCTGAGGAGGAGCAGATGCAGATGATGCAGATCTCTCGCTTGGGAGGGGAGCGCCCTCTCACCGATAATGCTGCTGGGTCAATCTTGAGGGCAAGCTGTGCGGCGGTAGGATGACTGGCAATTACGATAATGCTCCTACCTTTCTCGTTTTATTTAAACGAGTTTAATCCTCCTGCTCCTCCAGGCCTGTCGAGAAGTCTTTGCGGAGGCGAACCTCGATGCTGCATGTGAATTTGTCCAGAGCCTTATTGGAGACATGGGTGGTATTTTGTTACGGAGAAACCAGCTGCTCCTTTACACAAAGTGGTACAAGAAGCAGCGCAACTCGAAAGACCCTTGTCTGCATCTAAGCTCCCTGGTCTCCCTTCATGGACTCCTCAGCTCCCTGGGCTCCCTAAAGCCCAACCGTTGTGTGTGTGTGTGGGTCGTCTGGTCTCTCTGGTCTCCCTTCACGATCTCCCGGGCTGCCTGTCCCTGTGCTGCGAAAGCAAACACCGAAAGGAAAACAAGCTTATTCCAGACGTACAAAACTCGACGCACACACGACGAATAGCGTTGCTATTTAATGCTTCTTTGCCCATGTTTGGGGCGAGTCGTCAGCTCTGCAAGGATGGGCTTCGCGAGCTACGGAGTTCTCTGAGGGATCAGACCTGGGTCCTTTGGCCGAAAGAGGACAGCGAGTCCCAGCAATGGAAGCTACGGAGGAGCTGGCGATTCCGAAGGAGGCGCAGGACTCGGGACTGGCACCCGACCTGGCGGTTTCACGCCAAACCCCCGTCATTGGAGCAAATCTCGGAGTTTCTCGAGGCGAAGTACATTGAAAAGCAGGAGCTCGTGGACTTGACTCTCCACTTGAGGCTCAATCGCCACATCACGAGCCACATTCTGGCATTGCTTGTCCGGCGCTTCGGACGCATGCAGCTTTGGCAGACGGCCTTTGCTTTGCTCTTCGAATTTCAGCGGACTTTGCTGGAAGTTGACTCGGGGCCTTATGTGGCGGCCGCGGATGCATGCCGCAGCACTGGGCGGTGGGACGGTGCCCTCTGTGTCCTGTCCCGCGCACGGCAGGACGGGCTGCCGCTGATCGTCAATGTGAGCAATGCCGTCGGCTCCGCTGTTTTTCGGTGTGAAGCTGAGGGCTGGCCTCGGGTTCTCGAGCTGCTAGGGGATATGCTTTCGAGCTCAAGGGAGCTCGGGGCTCTGGTGCCTGACCAGATCAGCTTCGCGGTTGCCATTACGGCGTGCAGCCGCACCCTCCAGTGGCGAGAAGCACTCAAAGTGGTGCGGCTTATGCGATGCTGGAAGCTTTTCCCAGAGTCTGGGCCTTTGTCGGCTGCAGCGGCCGTGTGCAACCGTGCAGCAGCAGGGGCCGGAGCCTGGTGTTGGTCGCTGCAAGTCTGCAACTGGCTTGCTCAGGAGAGGCTCCTGCCAAGCTTATCTTTACAGAACTGCGCCATAGCAGCGGCAAGCCGTGGTGCGAAGCAAAGCGGTAATTGGGCTTTGGCAGTCCAGCAGTTGGACTGTCTCCGAGAGTCTCGGCTACAAGCCGATCGCGTGTCTCTGTCAGCTGTCTTCGCCGCATGCCAGCGGGCTGCGGCCGCAGAGCCGGCGCTTCGGATGCTCTCGAAGCTTCCCGGTCAGCGTGTCCGTGCATGCGCGATCTCGCACGCCAGCGTCATCATGACCTGCGCAGCCAAGCGGAAGTGGCAGGAAGGGGCGGCCCTGCTGCCATTCTTGAAAAAGAGCTTCGACACGAAGCCGAAGTTTCTTCGGTCCATGGTCAAGGCAGCCTACTGGAGAGAGTCGCTGCATGTGCTCCGGCAGGGATCCAAGCTCCGAAGATCGGAGCTCCTACCGGCGCTCGAGGCTTTTAGCCACTCTCGTGCTCCTGCGAGCCAGGACAGGGCCTGCGAGGTCCTTCGGGAAGCCCGGACACGCGGCTGGGAAGTTACGGTGCAGGAGCAGGCAGTGGCCCTCCAGTGCTCGAGCTCAACATGGGAGGAGGCACTCTCGCTGTACGAGGCATCTGGGAGGCCTGGCCATGCCTTGGGCGACGAGAAGTCGGACACCTCGACGCTGTGGCCTGTCCTGGCCACCGGGTGCTGGCGAGTTGCGTGGTCTCTGGCCTTCGAAGGCCACGATGGAGATCCTCTTGGGAAGGTGGCTGCTACTGTGCTGAACAGTCAACCGCACTCTTTTGTGACATACCGTGCTTAGAGGCTGAAGTGATTTGGTAAGCAGGGTTATAAATCTGATGGGGGTTATCGTAGATATAGTGATAGAACTGTTACTAGAGCACTATAGCGACCCTAATTACTACTCATTCTCCTGATCCTCTACGTGAGAACAGACTCTGAATCCTGGACCGCCGTGACCCAGGAGTTTCACAGACCTCGTGTTCTGAAACCCGAAGGAAGCCTGAAACTGAAAACCCAGAGGGACAAAAGCAACCCCAAACATTACCCTGTCTAAGCCCTTAACAGTTAAGGCGGTCACTGCACCTGGCTCAGACTGGCAAGGCTCTTTGTCACTCGTCAGCGCAAGCCATGGTGGGGTTTGGGGTTTAGGGCGCTCTAAACGTCAAACGAGAAGGTCCTACTGTTGAGGAGTGTTCGCTGGCAAGCCCACGGTGAAAAGGGGTTAGAGAGCCCATTCTTTTCAAGGCATGTCTGAGTCGATAGCCTTGGGGCTTGTGGCTAAATAGAGCAGCCGAAGGAATTAGAGTAGGGCTTCGGGGTATATTCTGGTATACTTATGTGAAGGAGCCCTCAGGAGAGTATGAGCAATGGTTCAAGCCCTTGTATACTTGTTGGATTTTTGGTCTAGGGCCTTAGGATTCCGGTTTTGCTCGGTGCATCGGCCGAGGCAAGCCCGACTCACGATAATTTGGGGATGTTTTTGCCAAACGTTGGGTTTAGGGCTTAGGGGGTTTTGCGGTATTCCAACCTGATCTCAATGTTAAGTCAGGCCCGGAAGCTAGTATATTTTGCTGAGGCACGTGCTGGCCGACCTGGACGACAAGGCCCCTTTCGCATGATGTTTTCTCTGCTGAAGATCGGTTGTGACAGTGGTTCAACTTCATGCCCGTGTCCACTCGTACCCTAAACTAGTCTGAGCCAAACCTTTACTTAACTACTTTATATAGACCCTGGGCCCCTCGTGCTTTCGCTTTTTGGGCTGCTTCTTCGACATGGAATTGATGCAACCCTGGTTTCTGAGGGATGAGGGTTCCAGACTGCGGGAGTCCCGGCTGAAATGCTATGTTTGCGGATGTCAGAACAAACGACTACTCGGAGATCCCAATACCCCTGAATTCGGGAATATGCCTTAAATTGTAGGGGGTCTAATATTAATTATGATTCAAGGTAGATTCCTTAATTATGCGGTATTGGGTTCTCTGGGTAAGGAGTTGCAAATGCCTAATAATTGCACTCTCCGATAAGACTTGCTTGCAGCAAATTTACATGCATGCAGGCGTATATTATATGCATACAGTACTACAGACACACACGCATGCATATCATTCGTGTGTGTATGTATATATATATATATATATACATATTATCCGTATACAGAATGGGCGTCCAAAACTTTGAAGCTTTCCAACGCCACAGGACCTCCTGACGCCTGCTCTCACTTCCTGCAGGTTGGGCGGGTGTTTGGCACGTCGAGCCTGGTTTCGGGATTGCGAGCCTTTTTTCGACGGTTCAGAGTTTCGAGGACTCCGCTAACGGGTCCGTAAGCCAGTTTGGGCTTTCGGGTTTGGGATTTTCTGCTGTCGTACATGCAAGAGAGAAGTGGTGGTCCCCTCAGCCTTCACTGTAAACCCTACGTAAATGCTGGGCAGATCACCCCAAACTTCTGTGTTTGCGAAGTGCCAGGCGGGCATCCTACTGGCAGCAGGCAGTGGCCCTGATGGCCTTTACATGGCTCTGGCGATTCAGGCCGGCGACCGAGACAAAAGCGCTCCACAAAAAGGCAAGTCAGAGGTAGGACCTTTGGAAGCCTTACACTAGAGTTGGGGGTTTAGGGTTTCAGGGTCAAGATGATTGCAGGTCGTAGACTGGCTAGAGTTGAGTCCAGTAGCAAGAAAAGCATGTCACGGTTTCGACTCTGCTCCGTTTCGCAAGAATTGAGAGAGGGCTTTCCATTTGGTGATCAGGCCCGGCGCTGTCCGAGTTCACGCTGCGCTGCGAGCATGTGCCGACCCAGGGCGCTCGAGGCAGCGACCTGTTGCACTTCCCTAAACCCTCAACCCTAAACCCGGCTACCTTGCCAGGCTAGTCCGAGTGTGTGAGTGTCAAAAAAAAACTCGGCTACAGAGAGGTGTTGCAGCTTCTGAGACCGTTGAGCCCTGATTCTTCCGATTCTTCTATGAACGTTGTTATTCGTGTTTGTATTGGTATTTATGCTGTTTTTGTTATTACTATGCTTGTTACTATTATCTTTATTTTTCGGGGCAGTACTAGGTTTTCAGATCTTATTCATTTTTTGGATTGTTAGCATTCATTACTATAGCTTATCATTGCTATTGGTAGTACTAGGTTACTAAGTGTGTATACGTTTCATTTACCATTGTTATCATTATTATCATTGTTATGATTCTGCTTGTTACTACTGTTATTGTAATTATTGCTCTCTTACTGTTTACAGTATTCCCTGTACTTTCACGGTCATATCAGTACCGTTCTTCATATTGCCATTAGTTTGATTAGCATTAGTATGATTATCATTATGGTTATCACTGTTATCTTTATTATTCTTATTATTATTCGTCTAATATCTGGTTTCTATTCTTCTTCTTATTGTTATTATGAGAAGGACTAAGACTATGATTATGACTAAACTATGACAGTACCATAACTACTACATACTACTACTATTGCTATTACTTCTGCTGCCAGTAGCATAATTATGCATGTTTTAGTACTGCTGCTACTACCACCATCAGTGTTATTATTCTTCGTGCTTCTAGTAGTATTCTTATCATTATTTGTATTCTACTAACTCACGCGGACGCGCGCGCGTGCAGGGGCCTTAATAATTACCTGTGCTGTTTGGGGGTTCCTTATTATGATTGTAGTATAACATACCCCCAAAGCCGGCTCTAATTATGAAGGCCCCAAAATGAACGCCAACAACAGGCTCTCCGGCTCCTTGTCTGTTGGGTTTTGGTGACGCCACTGTCGCCGTCGTGGGTGCTGTAGATGCCAAGGCAGCAGCAGAGTAAGCTAATGTCCAAACCCTTGTTGGTGTGTGCAATGACGCCTCCTCTTAGTGAAGTCTCACTTAGTATGACTCCGAACCCACATGCCTCGCCTGGATTGTCCGAGTGTGAGCGCTGAAACCCTAAACCCTAGACCCTAAATACATGGAATAGGAATGCCGACTGCAATGAAAGCTTGAAGCTGCCCTGAGCGAGCTCGCACCTTCGGTGCCGAGTCCCAGTAGCTCCAGCCGCACGCCTCTAGAGCCTCGAACCCCAAAATCGAAGTGTCGCAGTTCATGTGGGAATCCCTTGAGGTGGATGGAGGCGCCTGAGTTGCAGCTATTTGTATATCTGTGCTTCAGGGATGTGGTGCTTCGGGTTCAGGAAGGTGTATGTTTTGCAGTTCCAACTTGGATGTTGAGTGGCGGTCTGGCAAGCTGACAATCTGGAAATTTGGAGGGAATGAGCTGACGAAAGGTAAGACAAGTGCGAGAGTTCAGGCACGGCAGGCAGTGCCCGAGGATGCGAAATTCTTATGCCGTTGTGCCTGAGGATTCTCCTCCTCGTAGAGCTCAACGGAGAGCTCGGGAAGAGAGAAAAAGGAGTCTGAGCAACTGTTTGAGGATTTAATGCAGCACCATCCGCACATGTGTCTGAGTGTGGCAAGCTTGCTGGGTTGGATGCACCCCAAAGTGCTTAACCCCTAGCAAGACAGGTGGGGAGGGCTCCTTGCTAGTTCCCTTATCGAACTCTGAACTCGAATATCACGGGATCGCCGCAGGTGATTTTTTGCACTTTTTCAAGGAAGTCCTTAGGAGCACCTGCATCATGGCCCGTGTGTTGCTTGCCGCCTTGCTCCTAGTCCCAGCGGCGGCCTTTGTGGCACCTGGCAGCGGCGTCACCACTCCCAGCGGTAAGGCAGTGCAAGTGCCACTGGAGCCGCTTGAGCCAACTTTCGACGATGCTCAGAGCTCCAACGTCCTGAGTGTTCTGACGGCAGGATTCGGGGTTGGTGCAGTGCTCGGCTGGTTGAGTTCCAAAAAGCAGCAGCTTTGCTCGACCGCAGCAGCGGCAGCCGTGGCCGTCGCACCAGGTGCCGCGCAGGCGATGGTGGACTATGACGGTATCAAGTACCTTAGATGCAATACTCAACCTTTAAACTTTTTGGGTTCTTATAGTTTCGTAGGAATCGGAAAGTTAAACCTTTTATATCTGTGACTGGGGGATCAAGGTACTTGGGTGGCACTGACAAGGTCGACATCAACAATGCCAACATCCAAGCCTACCGCCAGTTCCCGGGCATGTTCCCTACCGTCGCGGGTCTCATCGGCACCCATGGCCCTTACAGCCAGGTTTCCGACATCTACAACATCCCTGGCATGACCGATCAGCTCAAGAACATCGCCAAGAAGTACGAGGGCAATCTTGTCTGCCTGCCAGCTAGCCCTGCTTACTTCATCGACCGCATCAACAATGGCCTGTACCGCTGAGACTCGGGTGAACAGCTGTAGCAGTTTCCTGGTCGTCTCCTTGTTACAGAATCCCTTAGAGACCGGTCATCGAAGGACAAGCGTCCGAGTCGTCAAAAGAAGCGAAGGTTACATGTCCCTGAGTCACGAGAGATCCCCAAGGCCCTCCCAAGAACTACTACACGGGCCTACATCATTACCAATACTATTTTGGGGCCTCCTTATATAACTATAGTCTGATTGGCCCCAAAACCCCAATTATAATTATCAAGGCCCCTATATTATATAGTACTCAGTACCCTTATAGCCTGTTAGTAGCCCTTATAGTAACCCTTATATTTACTAAGGACCCTATATTATACTACCCTTATAGCCTGTTAGTTACCCTTATAGTAACACTTATATGCTGCCCACAACCTGTCAGATGCGTGGGGTCTCCTTCGCCTTGACAGCGCTCGATGTCCGCATGGTCCCGCGCTCGTGTCTTGCGTCGTGCTTGTGCCTTTGCCTCAGCAGATCTTGTAGGGTCTCCTTTAAGGGATCCATAAGGGTTCTATGTGGGTTTAGGGTATAAGGGCCCGCGTGCCCAAATAGGAAACTCTGACTCGAGTGTTAGAACGAGCACGGATGAGATTCCGATTTTCGGAATTCCCGATCAATGTTCTAACATCCGGGCTTCCTTTTGGCTGTGCTTCTTGCACCTGCCATTTCAATTTCCCAAGACGGACAACCGATCGGAATAAGCCGCAGGTGGAGCCAGCAGGCTTCGACCTACACTTGCCAGAGTGGCTCAACACCCCTCCGGCTAAGGCCCGCTCGCTTTGCAGTCGACTGCAGCAGCCCACGATCCGCCGTCAATGAACTACCCCCATTAAGGAATATGGCTTAAATTATATAGGGCTTCATATTATGATTTAAGCTATATTCCTTCATTAAGGGGTATTGGGCTCTCTGGATACTGCGGTCTCTCGGGTTCTTTCTCTCAAAGTCTTAAGAACTGTCTCTATCCTCGTCTCGCTCCCCTCCCTTCTCCTCTCCTGCAGCAAGACGGACAGACAGACCCACACAAAAAGACACAACTCCCAGAACCAACACCCCACCGCTGTGTTCGAGTTGTGAGAGTCTGAAAAAACCTTTAAACCCGAAGCCCTAACCGAAACACCCTAGCTTTAACTCTGATCCTGTCCCAAACAGAGGAAGACAGTTGAAGAAACGCTAGAATAGACCCGAAACCCTGGACCCGACACATATAAACAGCAAACCCCTACCCCGCGCCATAGTGGGCGAGGTTCCAGTGGTCCGCCTGTTTGGCGTCTCCCGACAAGGTGCAAGTGACGGGTCCTCAGCTGACGCATTCCCCTGAGCTGAACCGTTACAGGGGAGTGCCCAGCGGAGTTTCAACTGGTGCCTTCAGTATCCTAATGTGGGTCATCCGAAGTCCCCTGATCCTTTGACTAGATACTGCTTTCGTCCGAGGTTTGCGTGCATGTGCACGGCTCCTGGCCTTTTTTTTATGCGAGAGCCCCAGCTGTGCTTGTTTGCGCTATGTGAAATTCCTCCAGCCCTGACTCACAAAAATTTTAAGTTGTCAAGATGATTCAAAAGCCAATTCTCAACATATGAAGGCTCATGCTTATAGTTTGAAGAGTATTCCGAAATTGGCGGTTGTAGGAGCCGCTGGGAAGCGAACCCAGGTAGAGCTTTCGGAGGAGGCGGCCCGAAGCTTAGACAAGTCAGAAGAAGGTTTTTATGAGTGGGTTTTGGGATTTAGGGGGTGAGAGAGAGCGGTCGCATGCGGGACATGATGTCTTGTGTGTTTGGGTGAGTGTTGCAGCCAGCAGTGCTGCAGATTTGCCTGGCCCTCAGTTTCCTTTCTCCTCAGGGTACCCGGCAGTCGCAATAGGCCTGGATGCAAAAGGGGGTGAGAGAGAGAGGAGGTCTAGGGTTGAGGGAGCACTGCTGAAAGGCTTAGAGGTTCAGGGTTGAGGGACTAGGCCGGATGGTGCTGCATCTCTGAGGCTACAGCGCTTTCCTCCATGCGTCGCAGTTGTGAAACTCGAGGTGCAGCCGGACGACTGGGGATTACCAAGCAGCGCAGCATGAGTGGCTCTACATCATAGTTCATTCTAGGGCAGTGTCATGCGCTTGCTGCATCAGGCCCATGTACAGAAGCGGCCTCGACTTCGGACGAGGTCAAGCTTTGCGCAAGACACGGGAAGCAGGGGTCAGCCACATGCCCCTCTACTCTAAACCTCCGACCACACACGCACAGACTCATTGTGATTGCTCCAACCCGAAAGCTTATCAGTATGGTTTGACTCAAGACGACTTCGTGGAGTCGTTCAGATGAACGTGTTTTCTCGTCAAAGCCCACGGCAAGCTGATGCAGACAACAGTTCCACCCGGGCACGTTGGTGACAACCGCCCGTTTTGATGAGCTCTGTGGTAGTCGAGTTATGTACAACATGTGCTCTTAGTGCTTCTGATCTTTCTGCAATGGTGCCTAGTGAGTCAGCGCTTTCGCGGGCGCGCGGCCTGCAGCGCTGCACATCGAGGTGGAGCAAGAGTAAGGGTCTTTTGCTGGCGAGGCCAGCCGTCGCCTCTGCGCTCCTAGCCTCTGCATTGTTCCTCGAGGGCTGTGGTGAGCCAGAAACGTGCTACCCTGATGGCACATCCGAGAGGGCATGGTACAATTGTCATAGCAATGTATATTGTTCAAACCAGGACCTGGCGACGCGTCTCGGGTCGATGTCTCTTGCAGACTGCATGACGCAGTGCGAAGCCAGAGACTGTTCTGTCATCCAGTACGATTGCGGCACAGATTGCTGGCTGCTGGACGACTGTGGATCACATGTGACCTCTGGCTGTGAGAGCAGTATCTATTACCGCGATCGGAATTGGGGATTGGTGACAACGACTGAAGCAACAACTCAGACACAGACTCAGGCTGGAGAATGTGTGGACGTCGCTGCATCGAATCAGTATGTCTGCAGCTCGCGGAAGTACTGTACAAATCAAGCCAGTGCAACCGTTCTGGGCGAGATTCCGCTTGAGGAGTGTCTGAGCCGGTGCGATAGCAGTGGTGCCTGCACTTCTGTACAGTGGGATTGCGGTGTTGCCTGCTGGCTGATGGAAGCTGAGCCTTGTGGAGAGGAGCTCGATACAGTATGTGGGAGTAGTTTGTATCATAAAACAAATTCTTCTACAACACCTACTACGACCACAGATGCAACAACTACCACAACCATAACCACCACCACTTCAGCGAGATTTGTCCTCCACACAGAGGGCTTGACCAACTGCCCCTCAAACACAGTGCCGGTTCTCAACGAATCTGCCTGCCGAGAAGCCGCAACGGCTCTTGGTTACACTCTCGCGAACGCAGAGGACACGAACCAGTGGCCGAACGGTTGCTACAAATGGACCCGTCAACCGGAGCTTTACTTCAACTTCAATGCTGGAAGTGGCAACCTGGAGGCGCAGGTCGTATGCGAGACAATGGACACAGTCACCACGACCACTACGACCACAACCGCAAACACAACGACAAGCTCAGCGACCACTCTGTTGTTCAGCCTGCTTACCGAAGGCTTGACCAACTGCCCCTCAAACACGGAGCCGGTTCTCAGCGAGCCCGATTGCCGAGAAGCGGCTACAGCTCTGGGTTACACTTTTGCGAACACGGAGGACACGAACCAGTGGCCCAATGGTTGTTACAAGTGGACCCAGCAACCGGAGCTTTACTTCAACTTCAATGCTGGAAGTGGCAATCTGGAGGCACAGGTCGTCTGTAAGGAAAGCACTTCCACTACCCCGAATACGACATCCTCCGTTCAGCCTGGCGAATGCATCGTCACCTCTGCGGAATACGTTTGCACGCCACGCAAGTTTTGCGAATGGCAAAGCGAGGCACAGCAGTTGGGACCAATGAGCTTGGAAAGCTGTAAGGTCGCGTGTTCCCAGACTGCTGACTGCAATGCTATCCAGTACGACTGCAACACCGACTGCTGGCTGCTGAGGGCATGTGGCGCGTTTGTGGACACCATCTGCGGCAGTAGCGTTTACATCCGCGATCGGAACTGGCTGTGGGGCACAACCACAACGACAACAGCGTTTGGGCAATGTTATCCTTCCACAACGCCGGATGCGATGCCAAATCTAGACACTCAGTGGACCTGCACGCCCACCGTCTACTGCACAAACCAGGCTTCGGCAACAAGGTACGGAGCAATGTCTCTTGATCGTTGCATGGCGCTTTGCCGCGCGGTCGGATGCAGTTTCATCCAGTTCGACTGCAATTCCGAGTGTTGGCTCATGGATGTTTGCGGTACATTCGAGACGAGCACATGTGGCAGCAGCGTTTATGAGAAATCGGGCACAGAAGAATATCCCTACTTTGCAATCAGTGACGCCGGTCCGTACCGCAGTGACCGTTTCAGTGCTTCCTTGTACGTCACCTACAGTAACGCCTGCTCCGGGGATGACTGCATCGTCGTGGCCGTGTGCCCTATATCACCATCGCGCCTTGGCCTTGGTGTTCTTCTGGTTGGCTCGTAGGGCTTTGACTTTCTGGATTTCTATAGGAACCATATTGAGGAGGCGATAAGTTGAACTTTCAGGAGGGGTTCAGAAGTCAGCCAAGGAGCAACCTCCAGACCACGGTTCTGAAGTGCCAGACTATCCCACCAGATTCGGGTGACGGAATCTCGGTAACTGAAGTGAACTGCACCGCCAAGGGAGGTGACGAGTCAGTGATCATGGCCGAAGCGATCTGTGTCGAATCCGACTCCTTGAGCACACTCGTTTCGACATCTGGGTATGGCGAAGGCGATCTTCGTGCGACATGCCCTGATGGCTACTATGCTTTTTCCTGCAACTGCTTCACAGCCTGGAAAGTGAGCTTAACTTGCGATGGCTATGCGTCCTTCGCTCCCAGAATGAGCCCCCCGGTCTGGGGCGATCCATTGAGTAGTGCTTCATGGACGGGTCTTTTTGAAGATGCCATGGCAGACCCTTGGACTGTGGGCTGGCATCGTATCCAGTACGCACAGCCCTACTGGGGTTCTGCAGAATGCCATCTCTACAGTGAGCCGGAAGCCGTCTCCCACCGAAGGCGCGGTGTGGGCACCGTGCAGGCGCAGCTCAGCGCCCTTTGTGTGCGCGGCATGGGCAGAAGCGACGGCGACGTGCCCACGGTCAGGCTCAGCTACCGAGGAGAAGGCGATTTGTGGCCTCTTCCAAACGCGACTGGGACAGAGACGCAGTACTGTGGCTGGGCCACGAACACGAAAGTGACCATTCTTCGGACAGAGTGCAATCCGTGGATGCAGACTGTCAGCTCGGATGGCGGATGCTCTAGCTCGGAGTGCCACAATCTGGCGTCTTGCGTCCGCATCTGCAACTCCTGTGGCTTCTGCAATGGAATCTTCTATCGTTTGGATCAAGATTCGTCATCATCGTTTCAACGATGCTATTTCACGGGGAACTTCGGAGTCGAGAGTGGGGAGAGCAACGAGTGGAACTATGGCTGGGGACAGTCCCCCCAGAGGAGCCTTTATACGGATCACTTGCCCGATCCGACGAGTGCTGCATGGGCCCTGTATATCAACACCAGGGATGCCCGATGTCAGAGGGACGATTATACCATCTCGGGGGTCACCTTCTTTGAGGATCCACACTGTACCAAGATCATGGTTCCGAGTTCGATGAACGTGTCTGGTGGTGGTCAGACAGAACTCCCAGTCGACTTCGGCGACTGGAGGAATCGGCTTGAGAAGATAAGCTTCGGTGACTGCTACACGGAAATGCAAGCTGGGAGGAAATGTGATGTGGAGTTTACTGCTGCGTTTCCACCAAATAGCACGGCGCCCCTTTGCGCCATCGTGCACAGCAGCTGGCTTTTCGGCCAGGGCCACAGCTCAGACTTTGGTGAATCTCGGGGATGGTATCTTGCGGCCTATGATCAGCGGCAGGGTCGTGTGCGCCATGGGACCGTGGCTTTCGATGTGGAGGGCACCCATATTCACATGCCGGCGATGCAGTGGTGGTTTCGTCAGAACGCCTCGGAGCCGGGAGAGACGATCGTGCTGTCATCCTGGATGGAATTCAAGTGCTGGGACAGCGTTGCTGAGCCTTGTCCCAGTGAAGGCATGTTTCCGCCGATCGAGCAATACATTCGGGAGGCTCTCGCTTCCATGCTGGCACTGCCACAGCACATGATAAGCATTCGGGCAGGAGAGTGGTGGCGCCGATTGTCCCAGCAGCCAGATGCGCGACGGCTGCAGACCTTCGAATACAGATACAACATGACGATCCATCTCTCAGTGGAAGATCCTGTTCAAGCTTCCCTCCTTCCAAGTCTGGTTGCTACCCTCGAGGACATGCGGAGGAACTTCTACGCGCTTTCGGACGTGTTCAAGACCCGCCTACGGCACAATGGCTTGCGATTATTCGACACCGCACAGGTTATGCGGGACACGGTTGTATTCTGGATTCCCCCGGCGACATTGACTCCCTTTCCCACCACACCGTCACCATCGCCGTCACCATCGCCTACACCATCGCCTACACCAGTGCCGTCGCCCGAAGTACCTGTGGAGTCTGAAGAGGGTATATCAGACGGCGCGCTTGTGGCAGCCCTCGTGGGAAGCATTGTCGGAACGGGCGTCCTGGGTATTTCAATCGGAGTTTTTTGTTTGAAGAAGAAGAAGAAGAGGACAGCACCGGGCTATGTGGGTGGGCCATCGGCTGTGGTCATCGGTAGCAAAGCAACGCTGCGCTCAGACAGCAAGGAGCTCGTGGATCCTTTGAATGAGATGGCCATGAAGAGCCTTCCAAGCTACTGGACCGGAGGCCGCGAGAGCGCGGACCTGGAGGAATCCAACGTCAGGGAGGACCTTTCCTTCGATGAGCTTCTTTATGTGAAGCACGAGCACATGGAGTTCTTCCAGGAGTTGGTCAACCACACTTACCGGCAGATTACGACGCAGGATCGTCTATGCCCGACGGGCACGCACGACAAGACCAGGGGTGGATGCCCTTGTGTGCAGCCTGGTGGTAATCCCGGTCTACCGACAGGCTACCAGATCAAGCGCGTTATCCGCGTGGAAGACTCTTCCATGTTCACTCGCTACATCGACAGACGGGAACAGATCAAAAACTCCCGGTCGTCCTGCGAAGCTCCGGAGCCCACAATTTTCACGCGTGCAGCCATGGAAGCCTCCCGGGGGTTGACTGATATCCTGTGTGATGTCGATGACAGCATCAACGAAGTCTACCTCTGGCACGGCACACAAGTGCGAACTGGCCTGAAGATAGCTCAAGATGATTTCAGCCTCAATTATGCAGGTTCGGGGGCTGGCACGATGTATGGGAAAGGCTTGTACTTTACGGAGAGCTGCACGAAGGCCGACGAGTATGCAATGGATGAGCCGGGTGGACACTACGACAGCGTTAGGGGCTTGCTCTTGTGCCGGGTGTGCTTAGGCAACTTCCACTACACCTTGGATCGCGAGCCATCTGCCATTGACAAGTACAGGAATGGCGAGTGTGACAGTACGATTGGAGATCGTGCAAAGGCCGTAAATACTTACCGAGAGATGGTGGTCTACGATCGGGACCAGGTGTATCCAGAATACTTGGTCCTCTACGAGCGGCTTCAGAGGGGGGAAACTCCCGAGCTGCCGCCGAAAGATGTGCCTTTCTTGCTGGAGCTGCCGCTGTATTGGAAAAACGTTGGCCGCAATCCGTACACGGAAGGCTTCCGAGAACACTGGATAGTGAAACCAATGATCCGCAACCTCATTCAGCGCTTGGCCGATGGGTCATGTGGAAGGGACGGTGGAGCGCCAAAGGTGGTCCGGGCAAGGCGCGTCGAGGACTCAAACCTTTGGTGCCGCTACATTGACTGGAAGCGTTCTTTGGGTGCACAGCTCCAGGCCAACGGCGACCTCAGATGTACACCTCCCAATGAGCTCGACGGAAACCCGGAATCCGGCCATGCGCTCACGGCCACCATCCTCGAAGAGTTCCATGGCGACGAGGCCATCTCTGTAGAGAACATGGCACCGGGTTTGAATGAGATGCTTCTGTGGCACGGGACCTCGCAGAAGGCAGCAGAAGCCATTGCCGAGGAAGGTTTCGAGGTCAAGAAGAGTGGCACACATGGTCGCCGCTTTGGCCATGGGGTTTACCTTGCAGAGGACTTGAACAAGAGCCTCAGTTATTGCTCTTCATCGAACAATGTGAAATATGTTCTTCTTTGTCGAGCAGTCTGCGGCCACATGTACTACACCGAGAAGCACTGGCACTCTGATGCGACGAGCGAAGCTACAACACGTGGGAAACACTGCGTGTTGGCGAATCCAGATCGTTCTGGCCCTAGAGAGTATATCGTGTTGCAAGAGTCACATGTGTACCCGGAGTACATCGTGGAGTTTGAAGACTGATCTCGGGCGTTTGCAAAAAGCAAGCGACCGAACGATGCTAACTAGTTGATGTGTCGGTCATCCATGACTCAGCTTGGAGTCCTGGTCTCTTACTCGATCGCTCAAGCCAGTAGCTTGTTGTCTTCCTGTGCTTGATGTCGTCTAGCGACGGCGATCGTTCCCGTCTCACTCACCATGCATGGCACCACGAGATTACAAAAAGCGGTGCTATCAGAGTGCGGGGCCCCTGACGCCACTGTGACGTCAAGAGCCATGTCATGGCTTCAACCCCAGAGCCCCGCAGTGGCGGCATTGCTTCCGTCTGTGAAGTGGTAACATGTCGGTGGGTGAGCTGCCAGTCAGGAGATTCGTGGTTCCTTTGTTCAGATGCTCATAGACGCAAGCCCCGCTTGGTCTGCCAAGCTGCGACAGTCACCCCGCCAAGCGCTAAACTCTCGGAGCTTACCCCTTGTCGCCCTTGCCAGACACCCTAAACCCTAAACCCTAAACCCTAAACCCTAAACCCTAACCCTTGCCAGACTTGCCAGATTGTTGCATGCGCTGAGCTTGCGGCAGCCATCGAAGATGCTGCCAAGAAGCTGGGGCGCACGCAGGCGCCAGCCGGCAGCCGGCAGAAGGACATCATCAACGTTTTTTGTTGCAGTACATCGACACATGTTACTCGGCCTCGTCTTTCTCTGTTAGTTCTGTTATGAAAAGTGTTGTTGTGAGGATTGAGCCTGTTCTGAAGAGAAGGCCACAACGAAGCGCTCCAACAGGTTTGTGCCCATTAACTGTTCTATGATTGTCATTACTACCAGTATCATTTCATGACTGTTCGGCCAGGCCAGGGTGGTAAATTTGAAGCTGGAGAGGCTTCAAGCTCAGCTGCATCAGGCGTGTCAGAAGCAGACAAGTTTGGAGTGGGTATTGGCAATGCGGGAATGGTGAGCTAGTCGTCCTCGGCGTGCCACTTGGGTGACAACAAATGCACCTACATCCACCTGCCTATCTGTTTGCATGCCTGCCCGCGTGCCCACCTCCCTGCCGCCTCCCTACTACCTACCCTGCCAACCGTCTATGATTCGGCATGCCCCCGCAAATCGAAAGCATCAACTCTGGCTTCCGAGCCCAACTGATTTCAGACATTTTCAGACAAGTTGTGATGCTCTTCGTCTTCCCCAAGCACCGTGCCTGCGCCTCGTGCGAGTGTGCGTGTCGAAACCCTGTGCGAGTGTGAGAGTCAAAAACCCGTGGCCAAAGCTGAAGAGGCGTTCAAACAAAAACACTTAAACCCCCAACTCTGAAGATCCGGTCGGTCATGCGACCTCTCCGCCCTTAGGCAGAAAAAGATGGATTTCAATTCCCGGTTGACGATTGTGGGGCTGGCGGGTATCCTGAAAGGGTTTGGGACCCGAGGGTCTGAGGTAAGGGGAGCACGCAGGAAAGGGTGTGCCCTCGGCCTTGCTCTTGCCATGCTGAGATCAGACGCGCTTCGAGCGACAATCACAGAACACGAGGGGCATGTTGAGCGGCCGGTACAGGTTGCAGACCTATCGACACATTCACGTGAGTTGTGAGCTACTTGAGCGGGGGCTTGGAGGGGCAGCCCTATACGTTGCATTGGTTTGGGGCTGGACTGCATGCTGACGCAAGCGCGTGATAAGAGAGAGCGACTGGATTCTAAAGAACCTACGGTAGGCTGTAGGCTATAGGCAGGCACAGGCATACATTGAGACGCCTGCTCTACAGTGGCATTCTCGGCGCAAACGATGGGGTCGTACGGCATCCGGCTTTCGGATGGGTGACAATCTGGTGATGTGGTGCTGCTTGAAGCTTATTTAGCCTTACTTCTTTACGAGCAGTTCATACTGTGTTGATCCCTCGGTTTCTGCCGCTTGCCATCGAGGATCGTCGAGGTGTTTTCTATGTTCGCCGTTTTGATCGTCTGTTTCGAGCGATTGAGTCAGGTCCTTCGCGTGCTAGGCTGCTAGGCAACGTCAAGCCTTTGGGTCGCCCTAGACCGCAGAGAATATTCAACTCGACAGCTGTTCTGGCCTTCGCATTCGTCTTCAACCAGACCTGGTGTCCTGGTTGTGTTGTCCTATTCGGTGTGTTTAATGGTTGGTTGGTGCCGGGTGCCGCGGTTGCCGACCTTGGAGCTAGAGTACCGGGATCGGCTCTGCAAGGCTTTTGCATGACTTTGTCGATATATGCGTGGGTGTTCTGAAGTTGGTTGCTTGAGTCAGTAGTTGTGGTGTTTGGACTTGTCGTGAATCCTTATCTCGCGTGAGTGTGAGAGTCGCGCATAACCGTTAACCCCACAAAACCTCAAGGTAAACAAATCCGAAATAAGCATCCCCAACTTTAACACCTCCAAGTGGACGGCTTGAACCACCAAACACGAACAGCCCTCGCCCCTGCTAAGTAGGAGGGAAAAATTCGGCCTTGATGCCCCGTAGCGGCTAAACTATGCATGTATTGTTGTGGTTGCAGACAATGCACTTTGGCTTTTCTTGAACAAAACCACCCCTAAGGTGGTGCTCCTAAACCCGAGCCTGAACCCAAAACCTAAGGTGGTGCTCCATCTACGGGTTGCACTTGCAGCCGCTTCCTTTCCTGAGGGTGGAGGTGGCCGATTCTCGCGACGTCCGGGGCCCTGAGCCGGTATGTTGTTAAACCTAGTAGCCTCAAAGCCTTTTTTTTTTTCTCCATTGGTTTTGGGGTATAGTTTAATCTTAGGTATCAGAGGGAAACCGCGATTGTGGGAGTGGGTTTCAAGATGTCTAAAGACGGGTGTCTTGCTTAACAAGGCGTGGGTCTGTTAGGAGGATTTTTTTAAAGTGGATGTCAGAGTGTTAGGGGTTCCCAGATTCCTGGAGGCGCCATCACATCTGGGACAGGATGTGCCCTTGAATTAGAACGGTGTTTCTTGACAGAAACGCCCCATCACGGGATATGTTCTGGGAAAGGTGCAGGTGCGGCCGGAAAATGAAAGGCGGCGGGTTCTGGCCACTGGGGTGCTGGCATTTCACAAGTCCGGGTGTTAAACGAGGTTAGGGAACTCCAGAAAGTTGGAATATGGATTAATGGTAGGATCCCCTATAATTTACCTTAAAGGGGTTACGATAATGATATTCTAACTTTCTGGCTTCTACTGTAGGGGGGTGGTTCATGGTGTAGGAGCTGCCCGGCTTAAGCCCGATTTGTGCGGGTTGTTGTGTTTTTCGACACATGTTTCACAGATCGGTCCACCAAGTACCCCCTTAACATAGGCGTCGAAAGAGCATCCTGCTTCCTACTTGCTGCATGCATGAGGAGCGAATGCAGAACCAAGTAAAGCCATAAGCTTCAGCCCCAGCCCCTGAGCTGGACCAGTCTTTGAGCAGGATTAGCATTATGGGACTTAGCAAATCGGGCATTAGGGTCATGTACGTAGATATCTAACTCTAGTTACATGACTTATCACCTACCGTGTTCTTCAAAGTAAACCCTACAGTATAAGCCCTGAATGTAGCAGGGAGGAAAGGGCCCCCCCCCAAAAAAAACGAACTCCACAGCGGCCTCCTGAGGTGGAACCCCTGGCCTTCGCCCTCCAGCGCGGAGAGGTGAGAGGTTTCCCTTTCTGCTGAAACGTAGGGTTTGAAAAAGGGGCCTAGTAAGTAGGGCTATAAGTAAGGTGACTATAGGTAGACATCTGTGTCTATGTATGCAACCCTGATTGAGGTTCGTATGACTGAGAGGGTGGAGAGTGCTGATAGGCTGGATGGATATCGAAGGAGGGCTTATGTGGTTTCTAGGCCCCTTGGCCAATTTGGTAGAAGCTTCAACCACAACCCAACAACTCTTGGACCTTTCGGGCTTAGTTTCGCCATAGCGCTTTCATGCATGCAGCTCCCGGGAAGGTGAAAGCTCTGGGGTGCGCCCAGGTCGTGAACTCGGTTGTTTCATAGGACTTTGGGCGTGTGCCATGTCCGTGAACCACGGCGAACGACCCGGGTTCGCCTTTGATGTTGGAGGAGAGGAGAGGCTTGTGGTTTCATTTCTGAAGACCCAGGCGCATGAAGCCCACTTGCCGTACTTGCTGCATTTTCTCGCCGAGCCTATGTCTCAGCGGTGGGTGGCAATGTCTTCGGTACAAGAACATGAGATGTGCAACAGCCGCCCACATGTATGGGCCTTACGGGCTTTTTCCACGGGTTTTCGAAGGCTGCTCATTCTTCGCTGCATGGTATGGCCTGTTCCAGACGCGAGAGCACAAAGGTGGAGGAGCCCAAAAGTCTCAGTTAAGAGCCTCTCGACGTGAAATCAGCCCTTCAACTTTGAACCCTTGAAGCCCAGTGCGAGCGTAAGGCGAAGAGAACAGTACCTTATGGATCCCTTTCAGGGAACCCCTATAGATCCCTTTCAGGAACCCTAAACCCTGACGACCCTAAACACCAAGCAGGTATCAGGCGAACTTTTGAGGACGTGTAAGCGAACCTTACTTTAGGGTCCTTGTCGCTTAATCATCACTAAGTGATGGTGGTCAAGTGTTCGTCCCGGCGGAGTCGCAGCAGGCCAGTTTCAAAAGGGTCCGTATAATGAGGATCCTGCTTTTTTTAGGGTACTATATTAGGTTTCCCTCTTTTCGGAAACCCCCAGCTGAATCAGCACTCCCAGGTACCACCTTTGTGGTGCGGGCTTTGTTCGGGTCAGTGGCCAGGACCCGGAGATGCAAGGTCGGGATTGCCGGTGTGTAGCCTGCACGAAGCGGCTGTAGCAGAAAGCCCCCCAATAATTTAATAATTCCCGCCGCCTGCATGGGAGTTTCCAAAAATCAGTGGTACCTTATTTTGGGGTCCTGATAAAAAGGATCCTACTAGTTAGGGTACTGAATATTAGATTGTTAGAGTCCCCTATTTTCGGAAACTCCCACATTGCCAAAGAAGAAGGAGCGGGCAAGCCGCCAGAGCTGCTGTGCTGTTGAGCCGGGGACACAGACACAAAAGGAATTCTTTGAGGTTTAGCTTTTTCAAAGG